TCCTTAAAAGCACGATGGCCTCCTAAAGCAACTTCTTAAGCCTTTCCTGTAATCGTCTTCAACTTTTTGATTGTATATTCACAGGTGTGTATGTATATATATTGATATATATATATATATATATATATATATATATATATATATATATATATATATATATATATATATACATATACATATACTGATATATATATATACATATATATATATATATATATATATATATATATATATATATATATATATATATATATATATATATATATATATATATATATACATATATATACATATACATTTATATAGATATGCCTATATATATATTTATACATATCTACTTATATACGTGCGTATATATGTATGTATATATATATATATATATATATATATATATATATATATATATATATATATATATATATATAAACTCTTTTCTAAAACAAGTGATATCTAATGGTATCTTGGTGCCAGCATGAATCACTTAAATATTGGCAAAATGCAAATCCAGACGCAGCCAATGGTATTCGGAGATTCTGAAACGCCGAATACATAGTGTAATTATGAGATACGTAGCTGATTATTTTAAAGACAAATGTGTAACGTTGTCTTTAAAACTAACCGATACACCTCATACTATAGTAAATAGTAGCATAATTAGTAATAGTAGTATGATTCACATCTCACATATGTCACACTTACAAGGTAATAATACTGTCAGTCTGAAAAGATCGATTAATCTTTGAACATACCTCCTACCTCCACGTACACAAATTCAGATACTTTTACTAATTTCCAAGATTCTTCAGTCTACACACGCCTCCTATCGCTACATCACTAATTTCTAAAAATATATATTTTTTCCCTTTCTTTCTTTCTTTGTTTATTTATCTTTTTTTTTCTTTCTTTCTTTCTTTCTTTCACGTGGCCAAGTACGGATAATTCATCTCTATGAAATTTCTCCTGCTTGCATTGGATAGATTTTGAAACGCCTTCGAAGCGCTTTCATATAGATTTAATTTCTCGTAAAAATGATTTCATCTGTCGGTTCAGAAATCTACTTTAGAATTCTTAAGTCGAATAACCCGTTATATGACATAGTTATTGCAATTTCTTCATTGAAAGCGATCAAAGACAGATCCCGATAATATAACAACTTTGGCCATATAAACTTCGACATATCAAAAAACTATTTCATTTTCTTTTTCTTTTTTTCACTCTAAATGTCTTTAAAAAAGTACTCAATATCTCAACAAAATATTTCCTTTTTCCCCACTCTAAATATCTATCTAAAAAGAAAAGAAAAAAAAAATTGCCGTCAAATTTAATACTTTCCGCGACCCATTGTGAACGGTAAATGCTGGCACTGTCCTCACCATAATCTCTGACAGAGTTAACCCCTTACGCCCGCTGGGATTTGGTACGAGCGAAACCTCAGATTTGATTTTGCGTCAGAGCTGGAAGGTGCACTGAATGTAGAGAATATTAGGGGTTTCAATAGCTCCATTGTGATAGAAGAGGAGGCTGGGCTGAAAGAGTTCATCAAAACCGGCGTTCGATTTTCCCCTTCATGGGCTCACTTTCTCTCAAATAATGTATTGTATATTCACGTCCTGCAACATATTACCCTTCTGTATGCAGATCAGCAGCCTGATATATCACAGATAGCTTAAAAATGTGTTTATCTATCAAGCTCACGCCTTGGGTGCACGAACGGATTTGTACTTTTGCCTATGCTCACCTGTCTTGTCTGTCTCTCTGTTTAACTCTCTCTCTCTCTCTCTCTCTCTCTCTCTCTCTTTCTCTTTCTCTCTCTCTTTCTCTCTCTCTCTCTCTCTCTCTCTCTCTCTCTCTCTCTCTCTCTCTCTCTTTCTCTCTCTCTTTCTCTCTCTCTCTCTTTCTCTCTCTCTTTCTCTCTCTCTCTCTTCTCTCTCTCTCTCTCTCTCTCTCTCTCTCTCTCTCTCTCTTCTCTCTCTCTCTTCTCTCTCTCTTTCTCTCTCTCTTTCTCTCTCTCTTCTCTCTCTCTTCTCTCTTCTCTCTTCTCTCTCTTTCTCTCTCTCTTCTCTCTCTCTCTCTCTCTCTCTCTCTCTCTCTCTCTCTCTCTCTCTCTCTCTCTCTCTCTCTCTCTCTCTCTCTCTCTCTCTCTCCCTCTCTCCCTAACTTCTCTACTGCCAGCTCCTCTAATCTGATTCCAGTGCTCTCGAGGTAACACAAAGACCACCCAAAATACCCCCGAATATCGGCGAACGCTCAGAAATCCAGCTGTTGGATTATTCAGCTGACTGACTGACCATCGCATCAATTGACTGATTCCCCTCCGTTTATTTACTGGAGTTGCCAGAGGTACATTCACCGATTTCTGAATTCGACACGAATTGAGGGATATTGAATAAATGTTAATTCGATCTTAACCGTTTACGTTCATGATAGCGGACTATTTATATTTAATCTAGTTTATCAAGATATGAATTTTGTGAACCATCATGTTCTCTCTTTCCTATTAGACAATTATTCGGATCATATTGTTCAAGAGCTGGTATAGCATCCCTTCTGGTATTAATCTCGTGTGAAAGAGACGCCACGTTTAAGATTTTAATGACTTTTCTCCCTCGTATTCACGTTCAAAAATATTTGAAGGGGAGACTGTGATAGACGAGGATCTGGTTAGGTTTT